TAGAAACTGTGACTACATATACCTGGATTAGATTAACATTACAGAAAAATATATCATTTGTTTCTATAGAGTTACAAATGCATTAAAATAAAGAAATTCAGACATTTACGCACAGTAACGCAGCATCGCCTAAATCAGGGGTGCACAACTCTGGTCCTGAAGGGCTGATGTCCAGCACAGTTTGGTATTTTTCCTCCTCAAACATCCCCTCTAAATTAAACCTGTCATTTACCAGAGTGTAATTAGGTGTGTTTGAGCAGGCAAGTCACCCTCCAGGACCGGAGTTGTGCACCCCTGGCCTAAACACAGTAAATATGTCGGCAAATATCTGTTTGAAATACTGATCAAATCTAAACATACTTATGATGCCAATATATTTTTTAAAATCTTGCACAGTCGTGCATCACTAGCTGTAAGAGTGCACTAACAGTTTTCATTTTAATTCTCTGAAAATTAAGAGTTTAGTTTCAGTTCAGTTTTTAATATTTTGGTGAATATTTTGTCAGAAACTGGAGTGAAACACCAAACACACACACACACACACACACACACATCATCTAAACCGCTTATCCTTCTGAGCTGCGGGGTGCTCAAGCGTAACATCAAACAGACGTCTGAATCTGTGTTGTCATTCTGTAGTTGGCGTCATGCCAGTATTTGAGACTCCAGGTCAAAGTAGTTTTTATCTGTGAAGAAAATGACACAACTGTACCCTGAACTGGCATCATAAGACTCACAACTTCACCAAAATACCCACACAAACCAGCGAGCTTTGTTACATTAGATACTTAAGATGCTTTGTCAGTGAGCATAGAGTTTGGAAAGCTAACATTGTTATACAATACTGTTAAAATATAGCAGCAGATGGAATTTCAATGTGCAAAGTGTTTTCTTACTTGTAGCCTGGATGTACCGTTATTCATATTTATACTGCTCAAGGATCTCGGCTGGGTTTACTGAAAGCATCTTAGTACAAAGATAATTCTTAAATGGTAGAATGAGCATCACACTGAGCACTCCCTCTACCAGAAAGATGGTCTTATCACTAATATACAGTATTACATCAATAATACTGTATTTTGCACTTCTGGTTAGATGCTAACTGCATTTCATTGGCTCTGTACCTGTAGTCTGCATAATGACAATAGATTTGAATCTAATCTAATCTAATCTACTCTTGGGAAACCCCTTATACTTCAGAGCGTCCAGCAACATTCTGAGGGAAAATGTACACAGGAGCGTTTCTGTTGACAATGGCAGCAATTTTTAAAAATGTTATTCATTCTCCTCATAGAGAAAAACTGCTCTGACCCAGAGCTCCTAATATGGTCATACGCTGACTACACAATGATGTACGACTGCAGAGGCCTATTAAACTTTAATGTTTCCTTCTGATGAGTTTCACAATGCTAACTTAGCACAACTGTAGACTAAACTCAGCTAGACTGATCAAAGTGAAATTACACAACTCAGAGACATCTCTTATATACCATGATTCACACTATTTTTTCCTCCATAATTCTATTTATTTTTTGTTCTTGTTGCTCCAGACGTTGATTAGCTGAAACATGTTTGACGTATGAACTTTGCTTCTTTAGGTTTGCACTGGTTACTGGCTGTTTTGGGCACATAGACAGAATGTATTCAAATTTGAGGGGTCAAGGATGCTCAGTTACAGTTCTGAGTGCTGATTGGTTGGCAGCTTATTTGCTGAATGAAGCGGTTGACGAGTTCAAAAGCACTCAAAAATATAACGGCAGACTTATAATGTTTTATGTTGTTGTGTGTCCAGGAAATAAACATGTTCTTCTAAAAAAGTTTAAGTATTAACAAACTGATTTTGCTCAAACACTCCATATGAACACATTCATGTTGAACTCGCTCGGGAGCGCCCTCTAGTGTTTAACAGACCCAGAAGACATTACAGAGCGGCGACTCTCCTCTCTACTCATTCTCTGCCCGTGTTGAGCTCATAGACTGTGATTGACAGCAGCGACGCCCCGTTATGAAGATGTTTCCTTTTGAAGTTTAAACTCCATTGTGACCCGAAATAGAACCAACCCGCGACATAAAACGGTCAGAAAAGAACGTTGATCCTCAGTCGTTTACCGACACCCCCAGCGCTGAACGGCTCTTTCTGTGCTCAGAAAACGCGACAGACTTCTGCTTCTTCTGGAGATGAAGACCCCCCTGGCCGGCGTCCTCTCTCTTCCCTCTCGGCTCGGCTTGCGCCCCCTGCTGTTCGTGGCTGGGGCCGCGGCCGCCGCCGCCGGAGCTTACTATGTTTTCTTTTACAGGTTTGGAGATCGACAGCCGAGACCGACGACGGAGGAGACCACCGATACCCTCAGAGTCCAGACTGAGGTAGTTATTCAGCTCCACTCACACGAACTAACACTGCTGAAAGTAGCTTATTAATGTTTCTAATCTCGGTTTCCATCGTAGGTCATCACTGAGGACAGCGGGCAGCTGCTGGTCAGCCCTCAGTACTGTGGACCTGTGACTGTATACAGGGTGAGTGAAGCGATGAGGTTGTTTACTTTTAAATTGGATGTATCTGTACATTGTCCAGAGGATTCACTGGTGTTACATTTCTTTTTGAGGGTTTACAGAGACAGTTTAACCGTCTTTTAAAGGTCTTTCAGTGGATCGTAACGTTACTTTATTCTGCCTGTTTGTGGTTTTCTGTTTAAAGGGTCTGTAAACATTGTTATGTTTCAAAATGTACCATTCACTCCCAGTCCATACAGTCCATACAGTCCATATATGGAAACTAAACTCTAAAACAGCCTTTTCAGTATTTATTTTTAGCAGTATTTTGTCTCGTTTGCTAATGTTTGTGATAGCTAATCACAGCTGCTGCACCATTGAAGGTGTAACGGGAACATTCAAACAAGAAGCTGAAGAGGCGAAAAAGAAGCTACATTCAGCCTCATAGTTTTAACACGGGTAGTATTTTTGATAAAGAGTTCTAGGCTATCAAAATGTCCCACCTAGAGGTTCTATCTGTGAGCTACGGTAGAACATTTCGATAAGGTAGCACAACTCGTCAGATCACCGCCATAGTGTTAGTTAGTGTGGTGTAGCATAGTGATATCACACTGATGCACAGTAGCTTCAGCTTGCATGTAGCAATGTTAGTATTAAGGCTCGTAATTCGGAGGATCCAGTAATATTCGGGAGAAAAATGTACACAGGAAAAATGTATGGCGTTCTGAACATTTTTATTTAACACAGGGTGTGACAGAGGCTATTGTTCGTAAACCCCATTTATTCTGGCCATAGAGAAATCGATCTTAGACCCGGAGTTCCTAATATGGGCATAACACGGACTACAGAATGACGCACGACTACAGTGGAATATTCAGTCTACAGCAGTTTAGCTCCGCCCATTCACGCTGACATTAGAAAGAGTGTTTCCACCTGAATAGGTTTTTGAACAAGATACAACACAGGGTAGCCAATGATCACAGAGATCATTTACATAAACCAGTCTTAAAGGCGCAGTAACAAGAACAGCCTGTTCAATACTCTGGTATAAAGGATGGAAAATGGTCTTGTACATAACCTCACACACACATTAGAGGACCTCATACAGGATATGAGCACTTTAATGTAAATATTATGGTTATACTAAATTCCAAACTAATGAATAAGGTCTTTCATGTTAACATTTTGATGTATACTTACAAATTTACTGAATAGCTTGCTTTCTATGATGGTATCTCACTACAGTGTCCCAGACAGTTTCTGGAGGAGCTGATCCTGCAGCACTGCTTCAAGGAGGTGCAGAGTTCATTCTGGACTCTGCGCTTCTCTTACGTATCCTGGCACAACCGTGACCAGCAGGTATGCACCTCTTCCTCTGTTCAAGAACACGTTTGGTATTGTTACTCATATCTGCAGCTTCATAGTGTCTTATTTGCATGTGTGTGTATTTTTCAGAGGATCTGTGTCAGGCGGCACTATGTGCTGCTGATGCGGGGGGCAGTGACGTATTCGTGGTGGATCCTCACCAACGATTTCTTCATGTCATCTTCTCAGGTAGAACAGATCTCCCTGTTGTAGTCATCTCCATTAGCCTTGTTGTATATGGTAAACATTGTTAGGATTATT